GGGGAGGACAGAGGGACGAACCGCGGAAGTGGAGGAGGACCAAGATAAGGATCAAACAGTATTGCTGCGCTCCCCTGGAGCATTTCGTCTCTCGTTGGCCTGGAATTGTTTTGCCTCCGACTGGTGTGAGCTTTACGCCCCCTGGAGCATTTCGCCCCGTATCTGGCTGGAGCATCTCGCCCCCGCGTGATCTGGAGCATTTCGCCCCCACGTGATCTGGAGCATTACGCCCCTTGGAGCATTTCGCCCCGTATCTGGCTGGAGCATTTCGCCCCTGCGTGATTTGGAGCATTCCGCCCCCTGGAGCATTTCGCCCCGCATCTGGCTGGAGCATTTCGCCCCAAGGTGATCTGGAGCGTTACGCCCCTTCTTCTCTTCCGTCAGCTGTAGTTCGGGGGCGCTGGTAACTTCAAATACCCCGTGCAATAGATGGTTTTCACTTGTGCTCCATTATTCGCCACGGGCAAACGACGCAAGTGGGAACGATGAGGAGGGGGGACAACGGAGGGGAAGTAAGAAAATGATGAAGAAGGGAAGATGAGGAGGAGGGGATGACTGGAACAGGGCACGAAAGGTAGATCTTGGGAGGGGGTGTGAGCATATATATATATATATATATATATATATATATATATATATATGTATATATATATGTATGTATGTATGTATGTATGTATGTATGTATGTATGTATTATGTATGTATGTATGTATGTATGTATGTATATATATATATATATATATATATATATATTCCTCTTCCTATATTTTTATAAGCCCGGGCGGGGGGAAAACCCATCACCCCCCCCCAAAACAGGACTCCTGGGACCTGGGGCTTTGGGGCCCTCCGACGGGCCTCGAAGCGGCCACCGGGCCTCGCAAGGCGTTTTGCCAAGCCTTCCCAGCACACTTAGGGCGATCAGGGGGGTCATCGGAGACGTCCCAGAGACCCCCAAGACAGCACAAGAGCGCTCCAAGAGTGACCGACGTGACCTCAAGATGGCCCAAGAGGCCTCCAGGACGGCCCCAAAGAGGCCTCCAAGAGCACTCCCAAGAAGGCCCCCCGAGGCAAAAATGATTGATTTTCTGCGGGTTATTGGTGAATTTTGGGGTTCTCCTCTTTTCGGCTTCCCGACGCTCCAAGACGGCGGTCTTCTGGGCGTCCGAAGCCGCCTGGGAGGCTCCCAAATCGCCCCACAACCATCCGAAGGGGCTTCCAGGCATTCCAAGAGGACCCCAAAACGGCACAACACGGGTCCAAGATGGCCCTCAGAGAGCCCCATGGCGGCCCAAGATGGCCTAAAGACACCCTCCGAAGAATTCCAAATCGTGTCGCGGTCGTTCAGGGAGACGGCGGTTGGAGGCAGGGTGGCCCGAGGAAGCCCTCAGAGGCCCCCAGAATACGCCCAGGAGGCCTCCAGAAGGCGTTAAGAAAGCCTGAAACAACTTTTGTGAGGCCCCTAGAGGCTCTCCAGGGAGGAGCCTCCGCAAAAAAGAGCTGAGGAGGATGGGGAGAATGCGCAGGGTATGGCGAAAACAAGGAACAATAAGCATGGAGGAAGGATCACGAATAACATCATTATAGCGGCAATGCCAGAAAAGGCAATCAGGAGTTATCGCTAAATTGTCGGCTTGACCTTGCTGCCATTCCGCCTGCATACCAAACTTCAAGGACCAAGGTGCATGGCGCGAATCGCCACTGCAGTCTTTTGTATATACATATATATATACACATATATGTGTATATATATATATATATATATATATATATATATGTATTGCCCTTCTCATGTGTACACAATTCTAGCTGTTTTGCGTATGTTCCTATGTATTGGTCATCTCCTGGGGCACGAATCCTTGGTGTTTTACGTGTGCTCCTATAGATTGCCTCTCTTCTGCTGCTCCAATCCGCAATGTTTTATGTACGTCTGTTGCTATAGATGGGGCCTCTCCTGGGGCACGAATCATCACTAGGAGGTCTCAGGAGGCCCCACGAGCCCCAGTAGGTTTCATGCGGCCCCAGGAGGCCCCAAGCTCATGCGCAGAGGCGCGCTCGTACTACTGACACTCATTCACACTCCAATTCATTTGCAATTCGATTCATGACCCGACCGTCACACCTCAAGCCCGTTTATATTCGAAACCTCTTGCGCCTCGACAATCACGGCGGACAGGTCCATGCGACTAGATGCATATATGGGGAGCTCCACGCAGTGAGTAATTGATTGAGGCGGTCAGAAATGAGGAAGCCATGTGTTTTCATTTGGATTTGTCGGATTTTTCGTATTCGTGGGGTCGGAGCTCCTGGGAGGGCTCCTGGGTGGGATTTTCCACAGGAGGAAGGCAATCTAAAACCACCGGCAGAGCCCAATGAACACACATAGTTTCGTCGTTTCTCATCCTTGAAATCCCACGCATCCCAATGAACACGCAAGGTTTCCACACCCCTGGCATCGCGAACACTGCGTTTCCATAGGGGTTGAGAGAGAGAGAGAGAGAGAGAGAACGAGAGAGCGAGAGAGCGAGAAAACCATATACAGAGAGAGAGAGAGAGAGAGTTAAAGAGATAAAACGAGAGACATAACGAGAGAGAAAGAGAGAGTGTGAGAGAGAGGGGGAGCAATAGAGAGGGATAGAGAGAGATAGAGGGAAATAGAGACAGAGACAGACAGAGGGAGAGCGAGAGCGAGAGAGAGAGCGAGAGACATCTCTAGAGAGAGAGAGAGAGAGAGGAGGAGGGGAAGAGAGAGAGAGAGGGAGATAGAGAGAGAGAGAGAGAGAGAACACGAGAGAGAGAGAGAGAGACACACAGAGAAAGATAGAGAGAGAGAGAGAGAGAGCGAGAGAGAGAACGAGGGAGAGAAAGAGAAGCAGAGATAACGGAGAGAACGAGAGAGAGCGAACGCGAACGAGAGAGAGAGAGAGAGAACGAGAGAGAGAGAGACAGGCAGATTCCAGATCCAGCTGATTACAAGTACAGTCTTCTTGGATCATGACTTAAATCTCACTGTTGTGGGGCGGAACCCAGAATCATCTGATTCCAATTCGCTTCCTACTGGGGCAGAGTGAACCCTAATGAGAATTGGCCAGATCTCAAACACAGCTGATTCAGACTGGATTCCTATGGGGATCTGCGCAGGATCGAACTTAATTGTGCAGATCCCAGATCCAGCTGGTTCCACATACATTCCTCTTGACAGGTGGTTATAATCTAATTGGGAGTGGGCAGATCCCAGACCCAGCTGACTCCATGTAGTTCCCTAGTGGGGTGAAATTCGTATCTACTTGGGATGGAGCAGATCACAGATCCAGGGGACTCACAGTATTAGAATCCCATTTAGATCGACGGGTGCTCTAGTTGTAATGGGGCGGAGCAGATCTCCAGCTGATTCTGACTTGCTTGTTATTTGGATCTACTTCGAATTGAATTGGAACTGGGTGCATCCCAGATCCAGCTGCGCCCAAGTGAGTTTCCGATTCCATTCGAATGCGAACTTAAGTGGAAGTGAGCAGACCAAAGGTCCAGCTGATTCCACATAGACCCCTATTGACGTGGAATTCGAATCTAAGTGGAATTGAGCAGGTCTCAGACCCAGCTTATTCCAATTTGATTCCTACTGGAATCGGCTTAGAATCTAAATGGAATGGTGCAGATCCCACATAGAGCTGTTTCCAAGTGGATTCCTAGTGGGGATCGAATTGCAATATATTGGCTCCTATTGGGGATCGAATTAATATCTAATTCGAATTTGACTGATCACAGACACAGCTGATTCCAATTGCATTTCCATTGGGATACATCGAACATCTAATTGGAACCGAGCAGATCCCTGATCCAACTGATTACAATTGGATGCCGATTGAAACCGAGTTAGAATCTAAGTGGACTGGAGCGGATCACATATCCAGCTGTGTCCACTTGCATTCCTATTAACATTGAGTGACGATTTTATTAGAAATGACCGGATCCCACGTCCAGCTGATTCTAATTAGACCCCACCACCAAAAAACAGCGGAGAAATGACGAGTAGTAGAGACGGATCAGCAAGCATGGATGAGAGGAGGGCGGATGACCAGTCAGCGTACGAATGAAGAGCTCCAAGGCCGATGCAACATGAGTGCTGGGGGGGCTGCACATATACATACATGCATGTATACATATCTTGTGTGTTTGTGTGTTTGTGTGTGCACGTTTTTTTGTTCACAACATGCACCCCCAAATGTGTGGACCCTTTCCCCGCTTCTTACCCCAAATCGTTCTTCCACGGTCCTTGGGCCAAAGGTCCCAGAGGCAGAAACTTTCCAAGAACCTCCCGTCGTGATTCCGTGAACAGCTTGGCCGTGAGGGCTCTCTCTCTCTCTCTCTCTCTTTCTATCCCTCATGCTCTCTCTCTCTCTCTCTTGTTCACTCTGTTATTCTTATTGTTATCCTCATCGTCGTCACTATCATGATCATCCTTAGCATTCCCATCATCCTTCTTATTACCACTGTCATTTCTATTATTCTCAATATATTATTATTATTCTTATTATAATCTACGTGTTATCATTCGTATAATCGTCATCCGTATCATAAGCACTATCATTATTACTGCCATTATGATGATGCTGCTGCTGCTGATGATGATGGTCATTCGTATTCTTAGTACTATTATTGCTATCATCCTATATACACATAGTGTTACTGAGAAACCGAATCCGGGCGGACCTGGACCTGGAATCGGTCGGGTGCAAGTTGCCTCCCGTTGTACCTCGCTGTCTCCCGTTGTTTCCCGTTGTCTCCCTATCCCTGTTCTACCCTAACTCTCTACCCCGATCACTTCCTTGAACACTTTGTCTGTACAACCAATCTTTTCTGAGCAACTGGTCTCCCGCATGGTCTTCCGTATGTGCAGCACAGCTACTAGATGTGTGGTGGTATTGTATTATGCTGTTTAGGAGCTTCTGCCGCGAGGGTGAGTCTGTTCGCATCGCGAGGGGCATTTGGGGTTTGAGGAGAGACCGTGCTCCGGCGTGGAGGACACGTTGCAGCCAGAGCCCACCGACCACTGCAGCAGGTCCCTTCCGAAGCGGGGGACGCCCACGGGGACCAGGGCGAAGACGATGGAGCCGAGCATGCAGTCCTTGTGCACCGCGATGTTTCGGTGCAGAGCCTGCGTTCGGGCCGACGACGCCTCGCACAACGGCGGCGGCGACGACAACGCCCCCACATTGGCGCTCCAAACACGCCAAATTCAGAACCCAAACGCCGTCTTTGGGTATGTTCTGGGGCGTTCACGAGCGGCGACGTCTCGTCAACAATGACGACGGCAACTATCGAGGGGGCCTTCACGGGGGGACGCGGGGGGGGGGAATTGACGGGCAAGCGAGGCGGTGCAGGCAGGCGGCCCTGAGAGGGGGCGCTCAAGGGCCCCGCTTTCGCCCCGCGCCCACAAAATGTCAAAATGTGACTCAGAAGCGCACCCTTCCCCCCCCCGAGAACGTGAGCCCCTCCCCAGTTGTCCCCCGCCCGATGGACACACTTTTTGATCTGCGGGGCGAGAGCGAACCTCTTCCGCTAAAAGCTAGGCGGGCTACGCACAGCTTTCATTGGGGAGACAGGGCACTGGAAGGCGGGGCCTCAGGCGGCCGGAGCGGGCGGGGCCCGGGGTGCGGGCGGTGCCGAAGTGGAGGTGCAACCCCGATAGATACACGAAAAACAAAAAAACGACAGAGGCTTCTCGCCGGCGTCGGCCTCTCCAGAGGCTGGCTCTTGGACCAGGCCCGTCAAGGACAGTCTGGGAGGGAGAGCTGCCTCCCCGTCCTGCGGGGAGAGGTCGGGAGCTCTTCGGGGCCAATGCCGCCGACGGCGTCATTTTCTGCGGGACGGGAAAGTGACCACAGCCACTGCTGCTTGTTTGCGCCGCCTTCCAGCCGGCCGAGAAAGAAGCAGTGGTTGTGGTCATTTCCCTGGTGCCAAGCTCAACGAAAATGACCACAGCCACTGCTTTGTTTCTGCGGGCTGGAAGGCGGCAACAAAAGAAAAGCAGTGGCTGTGGTCGTTTTCACGCCCCGTATTTTCCAAACCTGGCGTTTTTTTGGTCCCCAAGTTCTGGCCTCCTGAAACAGAGGCCTCAAGAAGAAAAAAACTGGCGACTGGGGTAGGGGTTGGGACCTCCTGGGGGCCCCGTGCGGCGAACAAGCGCGGCGTCGGAGGTCTGGGGGGAGACACCAGCGGTTACCAGTGAGCGCGCCGTGACCCTGACGCACTCGCTGCCGCCCCAGAGAGTCAGGGTGGTCACTGTCCCTCCAGGGTGTCGCCCTCCCCCTTCCCTCCGCTCTCCCCTCCGTGGCCATTTTGGCTCACGGTTCCGTGAGCGATCGGCCCGCCAGTTCGCTCTTGGCACTGGCCCTCCCCGAGCGCAGCAACCTTCTGCGCGTCAACCAGTCCGGCCAAAGCCCACAGCGCGCCCGGCCATGGTCCAAGTCGCTTGTTCCACCTCCATGGTTCCCGCGGCTAGTTGGTAACAGGTCGTGCTTTTTCCCTCGTGCTCTCCGTGCTTTTGAATACTTCGCGAGCTCAGCGCTTGTGATGGAGTTCGTGAGCTGCGGCACGGGTGGCCTGGAACTGCGGCGCGTGATGCAGTTCGTGAACCACGGCACGTGATGCACATCGTGATGCCTATGGTCGGGTGCATGCAATCCGTGAGCTACGGCACGTTCTTTGCGTTCTCCCCCGGCAGCGCTCACGGGCTGCTCGTGCTGGTGGCGGCGGTCCTCCTCGAGGACGTCCCGCCCTTGCAGGGGGCCCTGACCCCGCAGGGCGATGGGGTTCAGGACCTTTTCCCCCTCTCCCCCCCTGACTTCCACCCCTAGTCAACGGCCCGCTGCGCCTCTGCAGCTTGCGCTCTCCGCGCTCTCCTGTCCACGGCCGCTTAGTCCATGGAATTCTATTAAAGTTTTGTTGTTGAACATTATTTCTTCTTAAGAATAATTATTGTTGGGACCCCTGGTGAGCGCCCCCCCCGCCGCGCCTAGGCCGCAGCCACATTTTCATCATTTTCGTGAGGAAGTCTCAGGTAAAACGATGTCATCCAGATCCGGTTGTGTTGTTACGATCGGTTTTCCCTTGCAAAAAATAAGCTAAAGTGGACATTTCTTGTTCTAACATAACCAAACTTCAAGAATCCCTTGCAAAAAATAAGGTAAAGTGGACATTCGCGCGCGCAAGACGAAATCCTTCCAAAACCTTAGTTTTCGTAGCGATTTTAACATAAAAACATCAAAAAACCAATGGTTTTTCAAAAAAAATTGTCAAACTTTCATCCCGCGCGCTCTTGCGGATTCGTAGGAAACCCAACACTTTTTAAACATTTCTGTCAAACGGGCTTTTGCGAGCAACTTTTTCGAACTTCTGCAACAACGGTTGCGCACCTGCCAGGGCCATCATCCCTGTCAAATAATACCATGCGGGACACATTCGTTTTTTCTTCGCGCGCGCACGCCGAAATCTCCAAAAACCATTGGGCTTCTTAAGAATTTTAGCACCGCGCATCATAAAATCACACGAATCGCACCGTAGGTCCTCGAAAAACACCTGCACGACTTTTCAACATTTCTACCCGCGCGCGCTGTCCGAATCCTAAAAAAAAACAATGGTTTTCCAACATTTATGTTACATGAGCTCGCTGTGGGTTAACAAGGCTTAACAACTTCTGTGGGTGTACGAACGTAGGCTTAACAACTTCTGTGGGTGTGTACTCCACGCCAGTGTAGTAGCCACGGTCGTCCGCAGGCCACGAAGTGAAGTGTCCGAACGTCATAGGGCGGGAAGCTGGGTGTGGGTGGTGGCGAAGAGTCGTGTGGATATTTGGTAGAGCTTGCACTGCCCCCCCACAAAGTGGGGGTATTGGCTGGCGTCGCATGAAAACCCTGGCACTGGTGAGAACACTGAGCGTTCGGGTAAAGTGATTGTTGTTTGTTGTTGTTGTTGTTGTTGTTGAACATTATTTATTCTAAAGAATAATTATTGTTGGGCCCCCTGGTGCGCGCCCCCCCTGCGCCGCCTAGGCCGCAGCTACATTTTCATCATTTTCGTGAGGAAGCCTCAGAAAAGAGGGTGTGTACAGGATCCGGTTGTTTTGTTGTAATCCGCTTTCCCTTGCAAAAAACAATAGAAAATGACATTTCTTGTTCTAATATAATCAAATTTCAAGAATCCCTTGCAAAAAATAAGGTAAAGTGGACATTCGCGCGCGCAAGACGAAATCCTTCCAAAACCTTAGTGTTCGCAGCGATTTTAACATAAAAACATCAAAAAACCAATGGTTTTTCAACAAAAAAATGTCAAAATCTCATCCCGCGCGCTCTTGCGGATTCGTAGGAAACCCAACACTTTTTAAACATTTCTGTCAAACGGGCTTTTGCGAGCAACTTTTTCGAACTTCTGCGACAACGGTTGCGCACCTGCCAGGGCCATCATCCCTGTCAAATAATACCATGCGGGACACATTGGAATGCCTCCCACGACGTCAACGATGGTATCACCTATTTCCCGAAGCAGGACCATTGGTGGCACATGCCAGTATGGCGTTCTTGCGGGCAGTCCCAGTATGGCAATGTCATGGATTACCAGGTGGATCTGCGTATGCCGGCGCATGTCCAGGGCGTCCTGGCGGTATTGGCGCCCCTCGCACGCACGGGCGATGTATCCGTGAGGAGGCGTATCGGCACCATGCTTGGACACTTGGCCCCTGATGTATTTCTGCCAGGAGCCCAGCTGGCAGCATTGCGCCCCATCCGTGCCATCAGGGACGGGCGTATGCCAGAAGATGACGAGCACACGAACTCGTCTCTTTAGAGCCGCGGCGGGGAAAAGACGGTGGGTGGGCGTGCAAGCGCCGTTCCCGCCCCTCCTCTCTCTTCTCTCCTTTCCTCCTTGTCCTGCTCCTCCTCCTCCTCCTCCTCCGGCGGGGGGCGTGAGGATCCGGCATCGCTCACAACCATCGGGACAACCATCGGGACAACCATCGGAACAACCATCGGGACAACCATCGGGACAATCATCGGGACAGTCATCGGGACAACGATCGGGACAAGCACAACCATCAGGACAACCATCGGGACAATCATCGGGACAACGATCGGGACAACCACAACCATCAGGACAACCATCGGGACAACCATCGAGACAACCATCGGGACAACCATATCCTCTCTCTCTTGTGTATTCCCACATCCCTCAGGAATTTGCCCTAAAGATGTGATCAACTATCTTGTGAGTACGTATCATGTGTATCATGTGTATCATGTACCATATGCATCATATGCAACAGATGTTCTGTGGAAGGCTTAACAACTTCTGTGGGTTAACAAGGCTTAACAACTTCTGTGGGTGTACGAACGTAGGCTTAACAACTTCTGTGGGTGTGTACTCCACGCCAGTGTAGTAGCCACGGTCGTCCGCAGGCCACGAAGTGAAGTGTCCGAACGTCATAGGGCGGGAAGCTGGGTGTGGGTGGTGGCGAAGAGTCGTGTGGATATTTGGTAGAGCTTGCACTGCCCCCCCACAAAGTGGGGGTATTGGCTGGCGTCGCATGAAAACCCTGGCACTGGTGAGAACACTGAGCGTTCGGGTAAAGTGATTGTTGTTGTTGTTGTTGTTGTTGTTGTTGTTGTTGTTGTTATTGTTTGTTTGTTTGTTTGTTTGTTTGTTTGTTTGTTGTTGTTGTTGTTGTTGTTGAACTCTCATTTCAGAAGAATAATTATTGTTGATCCCCCCGTCCGGTGCACATTGCTTTTTCCATTGAAGTGCCCTTCCCGGGGCTCGCACCCGGTTCTTTATCAGGGAAAGTCTTGAAGGTCAAACTGTGTCGTGGGCCCCCGGTTTACAGCAACAGCGGGTCCCGCTTGATACTTAATTACAATTTATTGAAGAATCGCGCTCTCGCTTGGGACTTCTTTGCAATTTACCACCGGATCGCGGCTCCTGTTTGACACTTCCTTACAATTCATTGAAGAATCGCGCTCTCGCTTGGGACTTCCTTCCTCGCAAGTTACCACCGAATCGGGGCTCCCGCCTGAGACTTCCTTACAATTTTTTCATATGCCGCTCCTCGACACTCACTCAGGAATCGCGCTCCCGCTACATATTGCCTGGCGGTTCAAGCAAAATTTACGCTTCAACGACCCGCCCGCTCGACCCGCCCGTCTGGGCGTGCCCGCCCGACCAACCCGTTAGGGACTGCAGTCGCCGCTCGCTGCCCTTCGCCCGCCTTCGACGCCCCTCGCTGCCCGTGTTGGTTCCGCGGTCGCCTTCGCTCGCTGCCCTTCGTGGCCCCGTTGCTGCCCTCAGTGACCCCGTCGCTGCCCATTGTGGCCCCGCTCGTATTCACCGGCCCCCCACTTTTCAACGTTCTTCCCCAGTCTTCTCTACTCTTTCCCTTTATCTTCATTTTCATTTCGTTCGTACTCCATTGTGCTATTCCTCAATTCTCCGCATTCCGCCCACTCCTCCCCAGGCCACCCCATCCCACCCCAACAATCTCACCCCTTCCCGCTCGCGTTCCGCATGTCTCCCAAATTATTTCCAGTCCCTCCTCCAGATTCCTCCGTGCGCCCCCCGCTCCTCCGCACTCCTCCCGGTTCCTCTTCTCCATTCCTTGCTGCTCCTCCTCCCGAGACCCTACTCTTGTCCACTCCATCCCAATCCGCTCCACATCCCCGCGCTCCTCTCGACACGGTTGCAGTTCTCACTCTCCTTCCGCCCCGCTCTCCCAACATCCCGCTTCTTTTCAAGGTTCCACGAAATTTGTTTCTGACACCAGTTCGCAGCTGTACGTCCCACCGTGGGGGTATCCACGACATGTTCTTTCAAGGGGGTGGTACGTGGCGCTGTTCATGGCGCGACCCATGGCGAAACTTATTGTTCACCTGTGTTGGAGTGGTTGGGGCAAGCCATGGCGCAAGCTGAATCGCCACTCGCAGCGCAAATCACCGTCCTCCCTCCTTCTTGCCCCTCCCCTCCCTTCCTCCGATCCATTCGTCCTCATTCTCCCCCGTTATCTGTTACCCTTCGTTTTCAGAGGGCTTCACCAACCACACGTGGCAGGCAATGAATATACCCCCCAAAAGGGGGTACGATCGAAGACGAAGAGGGCGGGTATCCAGGGTTCGGGATTTGCATATTGAATGACACGCGATTGTATAAAGCGAACAGTCTTAACATGATGTTTGTTGTTGTTGTTGTTGTTGTTGTTGCTTTTTTTTTTTTTTTTGTTTTTTTTTATCCTTCTTCCTCTTTTTTTTCCTCTCTCTCTCTTTTTCTTTGAGGAGGAGGAGGAAGAGGAGGAGGAGGAGGAGGAGGAGGGAGGAGAGGAGGAGAGAGGAGGAGGAGGAGGAGGAGGGAGGAGGAGGAGGAGGAGGGAGGAGGAGGAGGAGGAGGGAGGGGAGGAGGAGGAGAGAGGAGAGAGAAGGAGGGAGGAGGAGGGAGGAGGAGGGAGGAGGGAGGCCTCACTGCGTGCGCCAACCTGGCCCCTGCTCGCTCCGGCTTCCGCTCTCTGCCCGGGATTTGGTGCCAGCCCGTCGGGCGTGTTCGATCCCTCGCCGCGCCTCCCCAAAGCGGCAACACTCGTTATTTTTTTGTTGTTGTTTGTTTTCTCTTCTTCTCCGGAGGCACTGTATGTGTATAGCCATTGCTCAGAGCAGGCGGTGAGGACGCTGGTGCACACGTGTGTACACATAACCGTATGCCTAGCACTCTTCTTTTTTCGGAGGCTCTCTATGTGTAGAGCCATGGCTCAGAGCAGGCGGTGATGATGCTGGTGCGCACGTGTGCACACACAACCACATGTCTAGCACGCGCTCGTTTTTTTTGTCGGGAGGGTCTGTGTGTGTAGAGCCATGGCTCAGAGCAGACGGTAAGGACGCTCGCTGGTGCACACGTGTGTACGCATAACCACATGTCACTCTTCTTTTTTCCGGAGGCTCTCTGTGTGTAGAGCCATTGCTCAGAGCAGGCGGCGAGGACGCTGGTGCACACGTGTGTACACATAACCGTATGGGTAGCACTCTTCTATTTCTGGAGGCTCTCTGTGTGTAGAGCCATGGCTCAGAGCAGGCGGTAATGATGCTGGTGCACACGTGTGTACACATAATCATCTGTGCAACACTCGCTTTTTTTCCGGAGGCTGTGTATGTGTAGAGCCATGGCTCAGAGCAGGCGGTGAGGACGCCTGTGCACACGTGTGTACACATAACCACACGTCTAGCAGTCTTCTTTTTCCGGAGGCTCTTTGTGTGTAGAGCCATGGCTCAGAGCAGGCGGCGAGGACGCTGGTGCACACGTGTCTACACATAACCGTATGTCGACCACTCTTCTTTTTCAGGAGGCTGTTTATGTGTAGAGCCATGGCTCAGAGCAGGCGGTGATGACGCTGGTGCACACGCGTGTACACATAATTAACCATATGTCCAGCACTCGTTTTTTTTCGGAGGCTCTCTGTGTAGAGCCATGGCTCAGAGCAGGCGGTGAGGACGCTGGTGCACACGTGTGTACACATAACCACACGTCTAGCATTCTTTTTTTTCAGAGGCTCTCTGTGTGTAGAGCCATGGCTCAGAGCAGGCGGCGAGGACGCTTGTGCACACGTGTCTACACATAACCGTATGTCTAGCACTCTTCTTTTTCTGGACGCTCTCTATGTGTAGAACCATGGCTCAGAGCAGGCGGTGATGATGCTGGTGCACACGTGTGTACACATAACCATATGTCCATCACTCGCTTTTTTTCCGGAGGCTCTCTGTGGGTAGAGCCATGGCTCAGAGCAGACGGTAAGGACGCTGGTGCACACGTGTGTACACATAACCACATGTCTAGCACTCTTCTTTTTCCGGAGGCTCTTTGTGTGTAGAGCCGTGGCTCAGAGCAGGCAGCGAGGACGCTGGTGGACACGTGTGTACACATAACCGTATGTCTAGCACTCTTCTTTTTTCGGAGGCTCTCTATGTGTAGAGCCATGGCTCAGAGCAGGCGGTGATGATGCTGGTGCGCACGTGTGCACACATAACCATATGTCCAGCACTCGTTTTGTCTTTCCGAAGGCTCTCTATGTGTAGAGCCATGGATCAGAGCAGGCGGTGAGGACGCTGGTGCACACGTGTGTACACATAACCACATGTCTAGCACTCTTCTTTTTCCAGAGGCTCTCTATGTGTGGAGCCATGGCTCAGGGCAGGCGGCGAGGACGCTGGTGCACACGTGTGTACACATAACCGTATGTCTAGCACTCTTCTTTTTCCGGAGGCTCTCTATGTGTAGAGCCGTGGCTCAGAGCAGGCGGTAAGGACGCTGGTGCACACGTGTGTACACATAACCGTATGGGTAGCACTCTTCTTTTTCCGGAGGCTCTCTATGTGTAGAGCCATGGCTCAGAGCAGGCGGCGAGGACGCTGGTGCACACGTGTGTACACAGAACGGTATGTCTAGCACTCTTCTTTTTCCGGAGGCTCTCTGTGTGTAGAGCCATGGCTCAGAGCAGGCGGCGAGGACGCTGGCGCACACGTGTGTACACATAACCGTATGTCTAGCACTCTTCTTTTTCCGGAGGCTCTTTGTGTGTAGAGCCATGGCTCAGAGCAGGCGGTGATGATGCTGGTGCACACGTGTGTACACATAACCGTATGTCTAGCACTCTTCTTTTTCCGGAGGCTCTCTATGTGTAGAGCCATGGTTCAGAGCAGGCGGTGATGATGCTGGTGCACACGTGTGTACACATAACCATATGTCTATACACGCCGTCCATTGCTAATCGTGCTCATTTCTAATTCTGCTCGTTTCTAATCTTTCCTTGCCCCCCAGTGGCCAGGCAGAGGCCCACGATAGAAGAATTTGAAATGAAAGGATCTTGCCCTCCCGAAAATAAAAGAACTTTCGAATAATTAGAAATTAACAATGTGTATGCCTATATGCATTCGCACACAGGTATTCGCCGCGCTCCCCGACTTTGTCTCTATGCGTCCGTTTGGATATGGAGCACGGGTTCGCCCCAAGGCCTCGTTCGACGACAATTCTCCTCACCTCCTCCGTCCTCTTCCTCCCCTCCTCCCCTACCTCGTTCCCATACTTGACATTGCCATCTCCTCAGGTCGCCTGGATGATGCCGAACAGGTACAATACGGCAGAGAGGAACACGGACCAGGCCTGAAGCGACCGCACGAAGATAGAGTTGTAGCCGACGCCGAGGGGCTCCACGATCAGGCCAGCGAGCAAGGTGAACCCCGACGTGGAGAAGAAACAGACGGCTAGGGGTGCGGAGGCCCTTCCGAGCCAAACGTGCGCCGCTCGGAGCGCCTTTAGGGCTAGAAGGCTGGAGGAGCAGGAGGAGGAGCAGCAGGAGGAGGAGGAGGAGCAGAGGAGAAGGAGGAGAAGGCGGGCGAGGAAGAGCACCAGCAGTAGCATGAGGAAGATGAGGACGAGGGTACACCGAAGGTGCACCAACGATGCTACAAGACACCTCCCCGTCTTAAGTCCCCTAATGAGAAGCCTCTACAAGCATCCCTCTTCACTTCGGGAAGATCCCAATGAAAGACGAGATCACCATGGACCTGCGCAGAATAACATCCAGCACATATATGGCACCACATTGTTTGCACGACAAGTGCTGCTGCACGTGCACACATACATATGGAGGGAGAGAGAGAGAGAGAGAGAGAGAGAGAGAACGAGAGAACGAGAGAGAGAGAGAGAGAGGAAATAAAGATCTCGGTATGTATATCTACACACGTATACATATAGGTATATACAGACGTATGCACATTCATCACCGTGCCCGCGAGGCACGAGCTCGAGTGTTCTCAGGCCCCTTGTTCGATACCCTGGGGCCTCAGTCCTCCACCTGGGGGATATTTTTCTAAGGGCCCGGACCCCAAAAGGCTAAATCTCTCGGGGCTTGCTGCGTGCCCCCATTGGGCCCGTCGCGTCTTCCCGCATGTTTTTTTTCGCCGGGCCGAAGAAGGCCTCAGACGGGCCAGGAGGCCCCAAGAGGCCCCCAAGACGGTCCCAGAGGGCCCCGGATCGCTGACGCCCGAGATGGCTTCCAGTCTGCAGAGAAAGCGCACAAGACGTCTCAAGAGCCTTCCCAGGAGAGCCTTGCGAGGCCCAAGTCATTGATTTCCATACGGTCTTCCAATGCTTTATGTGTTCTCCACCTTTCGAACTTTCGACGCTCAAAGACGGCCCCAGAAGTCCCAAGAAGGTCCCAAGACGGCCCCAGAGGCCCCCCAGGCGGCCCAAGACGGCCCAAGGAGGCCCTAAGACGGCCCCAAGAGGGGCGGCAAGAGTCCCCTACGAGGCCCGAAGATGCCCCCAAGAGGCCCAGAAGAAGCCCAAGGAGGCCCCACAACAGCCCTCTAAGAAGCATCAAAACTGCCTCCAAGAGGCCCCCGAGAAGCTCCGACGAGATCCAAACGAACATCCTAGAGGCCCATGAACCACAACCCACGAACGGTGGCGGGATAGTCCGAAAGCCATGAGACCTGGGCCGGCACGGAAACGGAAAGAGCGCTTCAGAATCAGAAACCGGAATTACTCACACCACCGTTCGTACTGGGAGCCGTGGCGTTGAGAGCTTGTTACGTCACCCCTCGCTCTTGGGAGCCTTGGTGTTAAGAGATTGTTGCGTTGCCGCCCGTTCCTGAGCCTTGGCTGGGCCTTGGCGTCAGGAACTTGTGACGTCACCGCTTTCTGCTGGGAGCCTTGGTCGTATCAGCTTATTTACGTCACCGTTCGCTCTTGGGAGCCTTGGTGTGAAGAGCTTCTTGCGTTACCGATCGCTCTTTATTTGGCGTCTCTGGGCCTTCTTGGGAGTCCTGTTGGGGCCCTTTTAGAACCCTTTGGGAGGTTTCTGGGGAACCTCTTGGGGGCCTCTTGGGGCTTCTTGGGGGGCTCTTGGGGCCTCCTGGGAGCTTCGTGGGGCGAAAGGCTAGACTTTTCGGTTCGTGGTTCCCCTCTTGGGGCCGTCTTGGGTCGTCTTGGGCGCCTCTGGGGCCGTCTGGGGGCCCTCTTGGGCCGTTTTGGGGGCCTCTTGGGAACATCTTGGGCCGTCTTGCGGCGGTCTTGGGGGCCTCTTGGACCGTCGTCAAGGCCGTGAAAGTAGAAAAGCCGTGTATGCTAAAAACATTCCTTTTTCCTTTTGGAAATCAGAATGATTTTGGCCTCCTGGTGGCCTCTTGGGACGCCTCTTGGGGGCCTCATGGGGCTTCTTGGGGAGCTCTTGGGGCCTCCTGGGAGCGTCTTGGGGCGCTAGAAATTTCGGTTCGTGGTCCCCCTCTTTGGGCCGTCTTGGGGCCCTCTTGGGCCGCCTTGGGCCGTCTGGGGGCCGTTTTGGGGGCCGCTTGGGAGCCTCTTGGGCCGTCTTGGGGCGGTCTTTGGGGCCTCTTCGTCAACGCCGTGAAAGCCGAAAAGCCGTGTATGCTAAAATGCACGTTTTCCTCAGGACAATCCATGATTTTGGCTTCTTGGGGCCCTCTTGGGACGCCCCTTGGGCTCCTCTTGGGGGCCTCTTGGGGGCCTAGTGGGCCGTCTTGGGCCGTCTTGGGCTCTCTTGGAGCGCTCTTAGGCCGTCTTGGGGGGGAACCCGAAAAACATGCAAAAACTCAAAAATGGTAATTACCAACCATCCGCCCGGCCCTCGCCCCTCCCCTGGACCCCTCCCTTAAGGGCTTCGCCCCAACTCAACGTCATCACTCGTACCTCGCTCTTTCCGTTACCTGGGCCGGCACGGAAACGGAAAGAGCGCTTCAGAAACAGAAACCGGAATTACGCACACCACCGTTCGTACTGGGAGCCGTAGCGTTGAGAGCTTGTTACGTCGCCCCTCGCTCTTGGGAGCCTTGGTGTTAAGAGATTGTTGCGTTGCCGCCCGTTCCTGAGCCTTGTCTGGGCCTTGGTGTCAGGAACTTGTGACGTCACCGCTTTCTGCTGGGAGCCTTGGTCGTATCAGCTTGTTTACGTCACCGTTCGCTCTTGGGAGCCTTGGTGTGAAGAGCTTTTTGCGTTACCGATCGCTCTCTATTTGGCGTCCCTGGGCCTTCTTGGGAGTCCTCTTGGGGCCCTTTGAGAACCCTTTGGGAGGCCTCTGGGGAACCTCTTGGGGCTTTTTGGGGTGCTCTTGGGGCCTCCTGGGAGCTTCGTGGGGCGAAAGGCTAGACTTTTCGGTTCGTGGTTCCCCTCTTGGGGCCGTCTTGGGGCCCTCTTGGGTCGTCTTGGGCGCCTCTTGGGCCGTCTGGGGGCCCTCTTGGGCAGTTTTGGGGGCCTCTTGGGAGCCTCTTGGGTCGTCTTGGGGCGGTCTTTGGGGCCTCTTGGACCGTCGTCAAGGCCGTGAAAGTAGAAAAGCCGTGTATGCTAAAAACATTCCTTTTTCATTTTGGAAATCAATGATTTTGGCCTCCTGGTGGCCTCTTGGGACGCCTCTTGGGGGCCTCATGGGGCTTCTTGGGGAGCTCTTGGGGCCTCCTGGGAGCGTCTTGGGGCGCTAGAAATTTCGGTTCGTGGTCCCCCTCTTTGGGCCGTTTTGGGGCCCTCTTGGGCCGTCTTGGGCCGTCTGGGGTCCCTCTTGGGCCGTTTTGGGGGCCGCTTGGGAGCCTCTTGGGCCGTCTTGGGGCGGTCTTTGGGGCCTCTTGGGCCGTCGTCAACGCAGTGAAAGCCGAAAAGCCGTATATGCTAAACATGCATTTATTCCTAAGGACAATCCATGATTTTGGCCTCCTGGGGCCCTCTTGGGACGCCCCTTGGGCGCCTCTTGGGGGCCTCTTGGGGGCCTCTTGGGCCGTCTCGGGCGGTCTTGGGCTCTCTTGGAGCGCTCTTGGGCTGTCTTGGGGGGGAACCCGAAAAACATGGGAAAACCAAAGGAAAACCCGAAAACGGCCATTACCAACCATCCGCCTGGCCCTGGCCCCTCTCCTGGACCCCCCCCTTAAGGGCTCCACCCCAACTCAACGTCATCACTCGTACCTCGCTCTTTCCGTTACCTGGCCCGGCACAGAAACGGAAAGAGCGCTTCAGACACAGAAGCCGAAATTACTGAGCTTGTTACGCCACCCCTCGCTCTTGGGAGCCTTGGTGTTAAGAGATTGTTGTGTTGCCGTCCGTTCCTGAGCCTTGGCTGGGCCTTGGTGTCAAGAACTTGTGACGTCACCGCTTTCTGCTGGGAACCTTGGTCGTATCAGATTGTTTACGTCACCGTTCGCTCTTGGGAGCCTTGGTGTGAAGAGCTTTTTGCATTACCGATCGCTCTTTATTTGGCGTCTCTGGGCCTTCTTGGGAGTCCTATTGGGGCCCTTTTAGAACCCTTTGGGAGGTTTCTGGGGAACCTCTTGGGGGCCTCTTGGGGCTTCTTGGGGTGCTCTTGGGGCCTCCTGGGAGCTTCGTGGGGCGAAAGGCTAGACTTTTCGGTTCGTGGTTCCCCTCTTGGGGCCGTCTTGGGGCCCTCTTGGGTCGTCTTGGGCGCCTCTTGGGCCGTCTGGGGGCCCTCTTGGGGTTTTGGGGGCCTCTTGGGAGCTAATGGGTCGTCTTGGGGTGGTCTTTGGGGCCCTTTTAGACCGTCGTCAACGCCGTGAAAGTAGAAAAGCCGTGTATGCTAAAAACATTCCTTTTTCCTTTTGGAAATCAATGATTTTGGCCTCCTGGTGGCCTCTTGGGACGCCTCTTGGGGGCCTCATGGGGCTTCTTGGGGGGCTCTTGGGGCCTCCTGGGAGCGTCTTGGGGCGAAAGGCTAGAAACTTCGGTTCGTGGTCCCCCTCTTGGGGCCCTCTTGGGTCGTCTTGGGCGCCTTGGGCCGTCTGGTCGCCCTCTTGGGCCTGTCTTGGGGGCCTCTTCGGCCGTCGTCAACGCCGTGAAAGCCGAAAAACCGTGTATGCTAAAATGCACGTTTTCCTAAGGACAATCCATGATGTTGGCCTCTTGGGGCCCTCTTGGGACGCCCCTTGGGCGCCTCTTGGGGGCCTCTTGGGCCGTCTTGGGCGGTCTTGGGCTCTCTTGGAACGCTCTTGGGCCGTCTTGGGGGGGAACCCGAAAAACATGCAAGAACCCGAAGGACAACCCGAAAACGGCCATTACCAACCATCCGCCCGGCCCTCGCCCCTCCCCTGGACCCCTCCCTTAAGGGCTCCGCCCCAACTCAACGTCATCACTCGTACCTCGCTCTTTCCGTTACCTGGCCCGGCACAGAAACGGAAAGAGCGCTTCAGAAACAGAAACCGAAATTACTGACACCACCGTTCGTACTGGGAGCCGTGGCGTTGAGAGCTTGTTACGTCACTCCTCGCTCTTGGGAGCCTTGGTGTTAAGAGATTGTTGCGTTGCCGCCCGTGCCTAAACCTTGGCTGGGCCTTGGTGTCAGGAACTTGTGACGTCACCGCTTTCTGCTGGGAGCCTTGGTCTTATCAGCTTGTTTCCGTCACCGTTCGCTCCCTGGAGCCTTGGTGTGAAGAGCTTTTTGCGTTACCGATCGCTCTCTATTTGGCGTCTCTGGGGCTTCTTGGGAGTCCTATTGGGGCCCTTTTGGAGCCCTTTTGGGGGCCTCTTGGGGGCCTCTTGGGGCTTCTTGGGGGGCTCTTGGGGCCTCCTGGGGGCTTCTTGGGGCGAAAGGCTAGACTTTTCGGTTCGTGGTCCTTCTCTTGGGGCCGTCTTGAGGCCCTCTTGGGCCGTCTTGGGCGCCTCTGGGGCCGTCTTGGGGGCCCTTTCGGGTTCTTTTGGGGGTCTCTTGGGAGCCTCTTGGGTCGTCTTGGGGTGGTCTTTGGGGCCCCTTGGGCCGTCGTCAACGCCGTGAAAGCCGAAAAGCCGTATATGCTAAGCATTTACGTTTTCCGATCGGAATTACATGAGTTTGGCCTCTTGGTGGCCTCTTGGGACGCCTCTTGGGGGCCTCTTGGGGCTTCTTGGGGTGCTCTTGGGGCCTCCTGGGAGCGTCTTGGGGCGAAAAGCTAAACTTTTCAATTCGTGATCCCCCTCTTGGGGCCGTCTTGG